AATTTAGATTTTTCTTGAGTGCCGGTATTTTTCTTTGCTTATAATTGAGCCACCAGCCAACTTTTTTTTCATTGGAGTGCAGGGGTTGCCTGTATTTTTTATATATATATATATATATATATATTATTTCATTCTAAGTGTATTTTGATATCAAAATACATATTAATATTAAATACAGTTAATTCATATTAAATACATTTTTATTATTTTTTTCATTTTTAATGTAGCACCACAGAATGCACCTGTCATGGTTGAATATATTTGTGTGTGTATATATATATATATATATATATATATATATATATTATATTGTATTTTTGTAACAATGCAATGTTTTGTGGACAAAGACCCAGGACATGCCTGAAAACGTGAGAAATCTCAATGTATCCATCCTGGTAAAATATTTTATAAATAAATACATAAATAATTATATATATAATATCATTCTATGTGTATTTTGATATTAATATATTAATATTAAAATACACTTAGTGTGTGTGTGTGTGTGTGTGTATATGTATATATATATATACTTAGATCATATACTTAATATGCCAGTGATCTTCTACTTTCTGCTGCTCATACCTCTCATGCTAACTCTCCCTTACTGGACTTCTGGCAGGTCGCTCTTTTCCTTTGGAACAGCTTGCCTACCCCTTTAAGTCTCACTAGACTTCAATCATTTAAATATTCCATCAAATCCATTTCTTCAGAAAACCTCAAGACCTGCAAAAGTAACATATCTTGCTCTCTCCTAAAGGACCACACTCCACTATGACTTTCAGTTCTCTCTTCTTTCATACCTTGTTGTTTGGTTGCTATTCCCCTTGATACCTTTTCTAATGTGTTTTGTGTACATCTCCTCCACTACATTTTAAGTTTGTTTGAGCAGGGTCCTCATAAACCTTTTGTTCCTGTAACACTTTGTAATTATCTCATTTATTGTTAAATTACTTGTTTAAGAATATTGTACAGTGCTGTGGAATAGGTTGGCGCTACATTAATTCCAAATGAGTTTATTTTGGGTAGGGTGTGGAACTATTAGTTTACTTGTCATGTTATGGTTACGGTATTTGTATTTTTTTTTTATTGTTAAATAAGGTTTTTATTTTCAGTATTAGAAAAGCAGATACACAGCAGTGCATAATGTAAACAGAGAATACAGCACTTTCGCCATACATCACTGTCGCTTCAAAGCAATAGGTCAAACAATGCATACTTCAAACAGATAACTATAAGAGTAGATATGTAATACAGTGCAAATACTTTTTAACCATGACCTAGGTGCATGGCGCAAGAAATAATGAAGAGCAGTGAATTAGGGATAACAACACACGAGAAGGTTTTGGGAATTATTATAGACAACAAATTAAGCAGCAGTATGCAATGTCAGTCTGCAGTTGTTAATGCCAGTGAGGTTTTGTCATGTATAAATAAGGGCATAAATTTTCAGGATGAAAATATAATTTTGCCTAATTATAAATTGCTGGTAAAACCACACCTTGAACGTGCTGTGGAACTAGAAAAAGTACAGAGATAAGCTACAAAACTGATAAAGAATGGAGCATTTTAGTTATGAAGAAAAGTTAAAAAATGTAAATCTCTTTAGTTTTGAAAAACAACACCTCACAGGGGATATGATAACATCATACAAACATATTCGGGCCAGTACAAACCATTATCTGGAAATCTATTCATAAACAGGGCTATACATAGGACAGGAGGTCATACATTTAGGCTGGAAGAGAGGAGATTTTATCTAAGACAAAGAAAACGTTTTTTACAATTAGAACTGTAAGGATGTGCCTGAAGAGGTGGTTTTATCAGAGTCCATAAAGATGTTTAAACAGCAATTGAATAAATACTTACAAAAACATAACATACAGGAATATAATTTCTAATTAGTGGGGTAATAGCTTGATCCAAAGAGATATCAAACTGCCATTTTGGGGTCATGCAGGAGTTTTTTCCTAGTTTGTTACAAAATTGGAAGTGTTTCAGACTGGGTTTTTTGCCTTCTTTTGTATCAGCAGCAAAAACATATGTGAGGAAGGTTGAACTTGATAGACGCAAGTTTCTTTTCAGTTGTGTAACTATGTAACTATGTAATTAATAAATACAAGGAGCACATCTAATACAATGGAAGGGCACATTGCCAGATGGAATGTCAGTAAAAGTCTCAGGAACCAAGAGAGGTATACAGTGAGGGAAAAAAAGTATTTGATCCCCTGCTTATTTTGAACGTTTGCCCACCAACAAAGAAATGATCAATCTATAGTTTTAATGGTAAGTGTATTTTAACAGTGAGAGACAGAATAACAAAAAAAAATCCAGAAAAAAGTGTAAAAAAAATAATAAATTGATTTGCATGTCAATGAGTAAAAAAAATATTTGGCCTTCGACTTAGTACTTGGTGGCAAAACCCTTGTTCGCAATCACAGAGGTCAGACATTTCTTGTAGTTGGCCACCAGGTTTGCACACATCTCAGGAGGGATTTTATCCCACTCCTCTTTGCAGATCCTCTCCAAGTCATTAAAGTTTTTAGGCTGATGTTTGGCAACTTGAACTTTCAGCTCCCTCCTCCACAGATTTTCAAGCGGATTAAGGTCTGGAGACTGACTAAGCCACGCCAGGACCTTAATGTGCTTCTTCTTGAGCCACTCCTTTGTTGCCTTGGCTGTGTGTTTTGGGTCATTGTCATGCTGGAATACCAATCCAGAACCCATTTTCAATGCCCTGGCTGAGGGAAGGAGGTTCTCACCCAAGATTTCATGGTACATGGCCCGTCCATCATCCCTTTGATGCGGTGCAGTTGTCCTGTCTCCTTAGCAGAAAAACGCCTGTAAAGCATAATGTTTCCACCTCCATGTTTGACGGTGGTGTTGGTGTCATAGATAGCATTACCCTTCCTCCAAACACAGTAAGTTGAGTTGATGCCAAAGAGCTTGATTTTGGTCTCATCTGACCACAACACTTTCACCCAGTTCTCCTCTGAATAATTCATTGGCAAACTTCAAACGGGCCTGTACATGTGCTTTCTTGAGCAGGGGGACCTTGCGGGCACTGCAGGATTTCAGTCCTTCATGGCGTAGTATGTTACCAATTGTTGTCTTGGTGATTATGGTCCCAGCTGCCTTGAGATCATAAACAAGATCCTCCCATGTAGTTCTGGGCTGATTCCTCATGATCATTGAAACTCCACGAGGTGAGATCAGTGAACAAACATTCAAAATCAGCAGGGGATCAAATCCTTTTTTCCCTCACTGTACGTAGGTTGCCAGAGTTCCATCAATATAATCCATTAGCAGAGGCTGTGTATGAGAGAGGCATAAATTAAATCAACAGGACAGCTGACAGAAAAGTGAAACAAAGAGGGAGGAAAGAAAAGAGAAAAGTTTAGGATAAAGACTTGAAGAACAAATATGAGAGCAGTAATGCTAGTGAACATTGCTGCACAGAAGCATTAGACACCTAAGGGAGCAGCATATGGAAAACCATAATAGTAGCAAATGTTACCTATCTAAATGTAATATTGCATAAGTGTGACGAGACCAAACTCGCCACATTGCATTGGAGGAGCCTGGTTGCCCACCTGCTGCCTTTGGATTATGGACCGGCAGCTAAAGGGTTAATTTTACTGTGCAGAAGGATTTATTTCTCCCTTTCTGTACAGCCGTTCGGTAGATTGTGCAGAATGACACAGAGCACTCTGATTGGCTGGATTTCAAGCTAACCAATCAGAGTGCTCTGTGTCATTTTACACAGCTTAGGAAAATTTCAAAGAACTTTCCCACGCTGTGTAAAATGACACAGAGCACTCTGATTGGATGGATTTCAAGCCATCCAATCAGAGTGCTATGAGTTATTTTGCCCATCTTATGTTTGGTCCCTATCCACATTTGTTTGCATTTCACTCCCTTTTGCAGCCCTCTAGCCCTTTCCAGAACTTTTTTAGAGGCATTTTAGTGCCCAAAAGTTTGGGTCCCCATTGACTTCAATGGGGTTCGGGGTCGAGCCCAAACTCGAACTTTTTGACAAAGTTTGGCTGAACTCAGCGAACCCGAACATCCAGGTGTCCGCTCAACTCTAATAGTGAGTAAATGCACTTGTTTTGTGTAAGTTATGATATTTACAGGTAATCCCACAAATTCAGGCACTAGGGTTGGTTTACCTGACACCAAAAAACAAACAAAAAAAGCCACAATGCAAGAGATGGCTAAATATGCCATTTTTTCTATCTAGTATTTATACATTTCATAGAGTATAATTGTGACTTACTGACATAGCTCAATTTATTTTATCTGCAGGTTTTAATATGAACTAGTAAATTAACCTCCTTGTCTTACACTTACAATAAGCAATTTGAGTTTGAGTGAAATTTCTCGTTAGCACATTAATGTAGAAATCTGTGCTTTTTTTGCCTTTGCAAAATTACTATATATGACAGGTTACTAATATATCTTTTGCAATAAAATATGAACTGATTTATGTAAAGTTCATGTCTATTTATAGGAGTTACAAATACAAACATATATTGATAAAGCTATTTAGGTGTTGTCATCCGCATCCTTTGAGGGTTTGAAAGCCAGACTTACCTTTCTCCCATCACTGTGCTGCAGACAGTCCACCTACCTGGCTGAGATCATCAAGATTGATCATCTCAGCCAATGCAATGATTTGCCAAAAAGAAGCATTGGGATGCTTGTGCTCATGCATATTAAATAATTTTGAATGTAATGTTTGGCCCAGTTTTTAATTTGTCTGAACTGTACTGTAATGTTATTATCTACATTTTTATTATAAAGGTAAAAGAAAATTATAGAAAAAAGGTTAACACAAATTATAGGTCAATTCTTCGTGTTTTTTTCAATGGTGTAATTTCCAGAGATGTGACTGTTCCACTTTAAAAAATGCAACTCTTGGGTATGCGAAAGTGAAACTCCAGCAACTATCTTTCTATAATGACCTCTCTAAGGCAACAGTCACATGGCGACACTCCATGAAAGAAGTCACCCAACTACTGAGATCCAAGGGGATACAATACAGATGGGGACCAGGGCGCAGACTCTCTGTCAACAATGACGGCAAAAGAGTTCACATCACCCAAGCAAGTGACTCTGTAGCATTTCTACAAACCTTGGGAATATCCCTGGAGGCCACTACAAGCACTACCTCAGCAGCAAAGACATCGGCGAACATGTCCAGGATATGGGACGTCAAGAGAATCCAACCCTTTATCCCAAGAACGAGTGGTGCTGCGGCCACCCTTCAGCCGAAAACCTGAATATCACTGTACTTATGCTTTGCCTAGACTGTTATGTTTACCTGCTACCTGTGACACTGTATGCAAAGGTTGCATTTAAAATGTAGCAAAACTATGAGAGATGATAACTATACACATGCTATGCTACAATAAAAAATTATAAATTAAATAAAAAAAAAAAAAAATGCAACTCTTTAAAATGTGAAATATAAGGTGGTCTATACAGTTTGTAAGAGCACTGTAAGAGACATGTTTGTAGGGAAGCTAGTAGAGACCTTATTTACTAAAGTGAGAATTCAAAGTGAATTCAAATTTAAATTCTAACTTAAGGCCAGGATAACCAAACTGAAAGCAAAAATGACTTAGAAAATGTTTCCAATTCAGGTATTTTAATCTTAAATATGAAATTCCCTTTGTATCGTCACTCTGGTGGAAAAACCATGTTAGTGTTATGTTTACTCCATTAAGTGTGCCTGAAAAGAATAATTCAGTATCAATTTAATTTCAGATATGTTTGCCTTTAAATGTCTATACTTACATTCCTTAAATTAAATATTTACTGCAGTGGAACATCTACCTATCTGTCTTTGTGGTCATATTGCATATAAATAGAGCAAGCACTGCTTGTATTTGCTAAAACCTGTAAGAAAAGAAAGATAGGGGCAAACAGGTGGTGAGTGTTGAATATCGAAAATAAGATATCGAAGAAGGCTGGAAGAAGACGTTACTAGGAATGGAAGAAGGCCTTCAACATCTTTTGAAATAGGGGATGGTTCTCAGTTCTTCTGATGTCTATATGTATGGCATTACTGAGCTGTGCTCCCTGCATTGATAATGCATGCTGTACGGCTGTTCTATTATTCAGAAAGGTCATATTTGTTTCATCCACAAACCAAAGGATCACTAGTGTTTGTTGTCACTGATAGATTGATTGTAGCATTATGTAATTCTGTATGCATTCAGATCATGTAGATTAAGAACTGTAGGATTATCGGACACAGCAGAAGCAGAGAGAATTGAAGAATTATCTGGCAATAATCGTGTGGAATTCTAAAATGCTGCTATTAAGTAGCATGTTACCCAAAGAGGAGTTTGTTACACATTAATCTGGCTATTCTGCATTGATATAGTTTATCTGCATTTTATTCAAGCAGATTTTGTTTTCATTATTTATGATGGCTAAAGATTAAGCTGCATTTACAAAAAGCCTTTTTTTCATATAAATAGGGTCAAGGTTGGAGCATGAAATAAAATAAAAATAATGGTAATGTATTACAGAACCATGCATATTCAAACACCAGGATATTAAATAACACTTTTTATGTTTATTTTATTGATTTATAGAGATAGAAGAGAGAGAGAAAGAGAGATAGATAGATAGATAGATAGATAGATAGATAGATAGATAGATAGATAGATAGATAGATAGATAGATAGATAGATAGATAGACTGACTTCTGGATCAGTATAAAATGGTACAATAAATGACAGAAAAAAAACATGGAGACATGTACAGAAGATAGAGGAAGGTGAGATAGTAAAAAACAACAGGTCATCAAATGTTACAGGAAAGAGAATGAAAAAATAACATAAAGCAAGTATAAAAATATTGTACATTCACTGGAGTTAAACAAGGCAGTCCAGTATTTATCTATAAAATGAAAGAAAAACATTGGTAATAAAACCAAACTAATATAATACACCAGACAGACTTTCAGTCTTGTGAGAGCAAGCCCCATTTTAATTAAGGGAAGGTAAAGAAAGAGAAGCAGAAACAAAAGTATAAAGATAAAAAGACTACATGGTTTAAAGTGAAATAAATTTAGTTTCAATATATCAATTTCAAAGCTTTGTTTGTATTCTTCAAGGGAGAGATGTTACAAGTAGTAAAACTTAGAGTGATAACAATTGCACCAACTAATTTTTGTGGGTAGACTTCTGCACAGCAAGAAAATTTGTTTGACCAAACCATTTTTCTGAAAATAAAATTTACTTTACGACACACGTTCATTTGATGGTGCAGCAAGCTAAAATATTTTCCATGAAAAATATTCAATAAAATTATTTGGACTTTTTTTTTATGCAGTACACATTTTCCCTAGGGTAGGAGCTGTTTCCCTGCCAACGTTAATTATTTCAAACAGTCACCATGCTCCAGTACCATATCAGAGTTAATAAGAATAGTATTACTACTAAAAAGTTTATGAACAAAGAACTATTAATATGTTACTCATAACAACATTTCAGTGCCTGAACGTTTCTAACATTTGATCATTTTATTTAATAAAATGATTAGCTTGTATAATATTATTTGTGGAATCTTTATTTGCATTAATTCTGTGATAATAGCTCATCTGTTCTTCTTATTGACATTAGTATTTATGGTAATATTAACATTTTCATTATCATCTAAAAATAATCCACAATCTGTATTTCGTCTGCTGAATCAATAACTGAGACAACTCTTTATTAATGAATTAATTGTAAAATGCTGCAAGAATGTAAAATGTGTTTTATAGACATTCTAAAAGATAACAGTATAACCGACAATAGTTTGTATAGCATCAAATAAGAGAATAATTAATTTAACTTTCTCAGCAACAGATGGACAAAATGTTATGTATGTTCACTGTAGTGGTTATGAGTACCCTGGAAAATGTTTAATGTAAGGAATCAATCCATTTTTGAACCTACTGATTTCATTACTGCGGTCCACCAGCACGAAACCGGCCCACTACTAAAGCCAGAGAGTCAGAAGTTCCTAAGCAGTGATAGCTCTCAACCAATGAACTAAGACCTGCACTGCATTGCATTTTTCGTCAGTATTAGTAGTGGAGGCATAGAGTGGCTCCCGGAGGACTTCAGTTAATGAGTCAAACCATTCAAAAAACTCTTTGACTACTTTCAATGAGAGGAGACCAGAGCACTCTTTGCACCTTAACCACAATAGAGAACTATAATGGCTATGCTGCTTGAAGTGTTCCTTTAATAACATTGATATTTGCAATTTTCTTTTGAAATACCTGAAACTTTCTTGAAAGCTAATAGAACCATGTTTGTAGGATTAACTAATGCAAATTCAGAGCTTAGAGCATTAACACCCACTGTTTGTCAATGTCACTTCTTTAATCATAATCATTTTTTATTTGTATTTTTTCCTTTTCAAAGAAGACCAAAATGCTTAACAAATTCTTTGGAATCAGTTACATATATTTAATCTCATTTAATGGTGCTTATTTATTTACTCAGCCCCTGAAGAATGAAATGCTGGATTCATACTAATGGCCATGAAATCTCTTATTCTGAAATTCAAACATGACATATAGCTAATGCATTAAAATAAAGTGAGTTAATTAATATTTCCATTAGACTTGTGCATTTGGTTTCTCCAGAATACTGAATTTGTGGCCATTGGAGATTTGACCGAAATTCTGAACTTGGAAACAGCACATAGACGAATCTCAAAGCAAACAAGATGGATAAAGGACAAGCCATTTTGTTTGTTTCCCACTGTGATGCCAAAACAAAAAAAAACATAATTGATGGGAAAAAAGAGATGAATAATAGTTAGAGGACAGTAACTAAATGTTGATTTTATTCACAAATCAAGTGAGATGTGATCAATAGAGGGAAAAAAGGAGCAGTAAACAAAATTTATATTATTATATATTTCTATATCATATATTTAATTTATGCTCCTACTAGTGAAATGCAAACTTTATATATATATAATATTTTGATTTTGCAGTATTCTGCTTTGCCAATTATCACTCACTTTTGGTTAGTCCAAACAATTTTTACCAAAACAATTGCATGGTCCAAAGTCGTCCAAACTGAAACACCATATAGATGAAACCCCAACTTTAAACACATTTTTATTTAGATAAATCAGTTCTGCCGAACCAAATTATTTTCTCTGTGCAAGAGTCTAATTTCCATATTCATAATTATTAACAATAAACCAGTTTAATAATCATATCCGTCTGAAAAAAATGAATGGTTCTAGTATAATTCAATTCATTTTATGTATCATATAAATTTAAGATAAAGCAATCTAAAAAGAAATTCTATTTAATTGAAATTGTTACTTCCCAGGCTATTTAATATTATATTTATTTTGCCTTATACATAAAAGATATGTATTTATGAGATGTAAGCTAAATTAAATGTAGAAATCCCCACCTCTTTATCCTACAAGCTATGCCTTCAGTCTAGCTTCCTGTCAATCACTGTTACAAACTCTGCCCTTTGTTCCTGGGAGTCAACATATAGAGGAAGGATAAAGAAAAGAGAATGGAAACAATGCTTCTATTTGCTATTTGCAATGCTTCTAATGCTTCTTGTCATTTACAATTTTGATCTTCTCTAACCTGGATTATGATGTCATTTTCTAAATATTTAATATAGATGTAGAGCAAAAATGGGTCGCAAGAGTATTCTGAGAACAGACGGCAGCTAAAATAGCCTGTCCTTCGGTGGGTCCCCGCTCATAACTCAAGCTGGTTTTAGCTCATCTTGTGCCATTACAGAGAGAACATATCTGAAGCATATCAGACTGGTCCCACTTTTTGCTCTTCATTAGTTTAAAGGGTAATCCAGACATGGTCCCTTTGCTCACGGTGCCTAGAGAGATATCAGCTATGCCTCACTGATGATGCCTAACAAGGCTGAAACGATCGTCTGGGGTTGCTGTGTCTCTCATGCAGAGAGAACTTGCTGGCATTTCGGATCTGGACTGCCCGTATGGGTGGGACCAGTCTGATATGCTTCAGATATGTTCTCTCTGTAATGGCACAAGATGAGCTAAAACCAGCTTGAGTTCTGAGCAGGGACCCACTGAAGGGCAGGCTATTTTAGCTGCTGTCCGTTCTCAGAATACTCTTGCGACCCTTTTTTTGCTCTTTAATATAGATGTAAATTAAATCAGAGCATTCCATTAGAAATAGCTAAAACAAGTTACACGTGATTTTAAATGGTGTAATTTGAGAA